GAGGAGCCACTTTGGGGACACAGAGAGGCTTCTGTATCTCACAAATAACTGTATTCAGGGACACAAAGCCCAACTGTTGTAAAAATATTAGTATTCAGATGCTCTTGTGTTTTGTTAGTGCATTTAATTATGCACAGTATGGCTGTTGTTTTCTTTCCACATTTGCATTCATTTCTGTCAACTCCAGGATTTACAGCACAGCTACAGAATCAGGCTCCTAGATACCCTTGCTGGTCCCTCCACCTATAAGTAGGATTGTGTCCCTACAAACCCCATCCTTGGATACCAGCCCCAGAGCATCATGTATTGCTCTTTCAAACACTATACAGGGATGTAGTGTTTAAGCGCTGTGTTGGAAAAACCATGATCTTTATGTCATTGAGGTTAGCCAGTAGCCATGAAAGAATGGCACCGTGAACATTCCCACCCTCCTGCCTTTTCCTCATTGATCCTGAACTGAGTGACCTGTTCCCATGGTACCCATGGTGGTGACATGCATCACCCCAATAGCAGTCAGCTGAGACCGCAGCCATCCTGTTCCCAGGATTTATCTGACACTTTGTCACCAGCAAACATTTATGTTTCAAGATAGGATTGTGACTCAGCTTTGGAATAAGGTTCTGCTTATCAACTCCACTGACCGTGTGAGCAACATCATTTGTGGGTCAGTTTCTTGATGACTTTGGTGAGTTTGGAATCCTTTGGGGATCAAGTGTTGGATTTATGATACAAACACACTTCTGTTAGAATACACAGTAAAAGGCAACACCTGCCTCAGGCCTCATACCAGCTGTCCCAAAACTGGTGGTCCATCTTCTATGTGACCATAAGCTGTGTCTGAGTAAGAAGAGCCCAAGTGTGCTCAGACAACTACTGGAAAGACTGGTCATTTCAGTTTTCCCCAGAAACCTTCAGATATTAATATACTAAGAAATAAAAGGAGAGCCACACTGGGGTCAAAAGTCCTTGTAGCGACTCCAACCAGGAGACATTTTACATATGCACCATTTTTCTAGATCGTCTCGGGGATCAGGCCCAGGAGGCCAGCACACTGTCATCCCGGCCCGGTCAGCAGCTCTCTTGCTGTAGCAGCAGTACATTCTGTGTGAGAGTTTTGCACAAAGTATAGATGAGGAAGCAAGACCTGGGTTACACTTCTAGAGATGTTCTATCCGTGTGTGTACACATATGTGTATTTGTAGGTATGGGCACACACATGAGTTTAGACTTCACCAAGTCAAAATGACTGATGTAAAACACATGTCTGCTATTCTGGCCTCAAAGAGCAGCTGCTCAGAGCAAAAGAGATAACCCACCCAAGAGAACACTGCAGACTTCCCCCTTTTTGGTTGCCAATACATGATTATAATGTGTTAATACTGGAGAATACTTTCTTAGGAAGTAAGACTTCTGGAATTCAGTTTAAAACCCAACATCTCCCAGACTATCTTCTGTAATAGTTATTTTTCTTATTGTTGTGACAAAATTACTGACCAAAGCAATTTAGGAACAGAGGGTTTATTTTGGTCCACTGTTTGAGGACACAGTTCACTGTGGCAGGGAAGGAACGGCAGCAAGAGTAAGAGGTGGCAGGTCCCATTGCATCCGCAGTCAGGAAGCCGAGAGAAATAAATGCTGGTGCTCAGCTCGCTTTCTCCTTTTCATTCATTCCAGCACCCCAGCCATGGGATGGTGCCACACATTTTGGGTGTGTCTTCCCACCACAATTAAACTAATCTAGAAACTTCTTTTCACACATGCCCAGAGGCTTGTCTGATAAGTGGCTCTGGATCCTGTCAAGTTGACAATATTTGTAGTCACATCTCAGTGCAAACAAAGACCCTCACAGGATTGCGCACTGTGAAGCCTTAGTCATCATTTTCTCATTAGTGTGTTTATGATGCTTCAGCTTGCAAGAGTTGTGCATCAAGCTGCCCCATCCCTCAGCAGGCTTGCGGTCATCTATTCCTAGAAGCTCTACTAGCTAGCTTGGCCCTACAAAGTGGGCTGAAAAATGGGATGCTAGGGGTTCTCTTGCCCAGCATCCCCTCCTCGAGAAGGGTGGTCACTGCACAGAAGTTGGCTTCTCACACACAGTCTGGTTGGATGAACAGCCTCACTTCTGGGAGTTTGGAATCTCCATCCTTGCCAGGCAAAATCATGAGAAGGTCCCCAAGAACACAAACCACCAAGCAGTGATTTAGCATTGCACGCATACAGCCCTGAGCTTGCCAGGAGACGCACCCTGTGCCTTGGTATGCTGGGCTCCATCCCCCACTGTGATGCACCACCAGCTGGCTGCCAGTAGCACTCCCCAGGTTCTGTGGGTGGCTCTGATGAATCATGGAAACTGGAATGCTCATGGTGCCCTGACACAGTCAGGAAATGCCTTTGAGGAAACTGGTCAGAAACAGTGTCACCACTCACAGCTGAGGCCCTTCATCCTTCTCCTGGCTCCTGAGGAGTTGGCCTCTTCATTCTGCCTGCCTCCCTGGAATATAAACCTGGAGGGGCCATGGTGCTGCCTGTCCCCTTATCCTGGCTCAGGAGCCTTCATTATCATGTGAAGGTCCCTGTTTTGAGTTCTCACACTGCCTGTTCCCGACCTCCCTGTAGACCCTCCCCTTCCCTTAGCATGCATGCTTGGAGTCTTCCCTGCACCAGCCCCACTCTCCTGCCTTTGCCCAAGTTGGCTCTTGGCAGACAATGCCCCCCCCCCAGCTTCAGCCTTCCTGCCTCCAGGAATTCCACCTCCCCTGACAGCTCAGGCCAGCACCTAGAGTTCTTTCCTGCCCAGGCCTCTGGGGTGCATCCATTCTCCCTCAGGGCCCAGACTTTCCATCATCAGTAGTCCTTCATCTGCTGTCTGTGTTCATAGCCTCTGGTGGGAAATCACATATCAACTGATAGGTGATCACACTCAGAGCTGGGGGAGGTGGGGGGAGCAGTGAAGGCCAGACAGAGATCCAGAATCAAGATATCTGAGGACCATACCCCCTCTGAAGGTTCCAAGTGTCCATTCCACGTCCCTTACCTTCAAGGGGTGCCAGTGTTTCTTAGTGTACTGTGGCTACATTACTTAGACCTTCCACCTTCACATTCCTTCTCTGGTATTGAGTCTCTCTGTCTAAACTTCCCCGTCTCACATGGACCACAGCCATAGGCTGAAGGCCCACCGTGCTACCACATGAATTCATCTTCTGCAAAGACCCTATTTCCAAATAAGTTCACCATCACAGGTGGAGGGCTAGGATGTGAAAATATCTTTAGGGGAGGGTTACTATTCAATTCATAACATACATTTTCTTTTGATTCCCCCACTAGAATGAAAACTTCCACATTTTATTCATCATTATAGCCATAACATCTAGAACAATGTGTTATATTTATTTAATAAGTAATGAATGATGGATGGGTGGGTGGATGGAGAAATGGAAATACATAGATACATGGGTGCCTAGATAGTTGGATAGATGGACAGGAGGCATATTGAGAATGGATAATAGAAGGATACTGTTGGGTAACTATCACTGGATGAATGGGAGGATGGATGGGTGGATGGGTGGATGGGTGGGTGGGGTGGGTAGAGTAGATAGTGGGTAGATGGATGGATGGATAGAGGAATGATGGATGGATGGACAAGTGGTGGGAAAGTGGGTGGGTGGATGGACAGGTGATATATAGATGGATGAAACAGATACATAGTGGTGGATGGATGGATGGATGGATGGGTAGGTGGAGTGGGTAGATGGACAGATGAATAAGATGATGAACGAATAAGAGGGTGAATGGTGTGGATAAGCTGACTAAAGGGGGGATGATGCTACAGTAAAGTGTAATTCAGCCAAATTTCTATAGGTAAATGTCCTAGTTTGTTTCTCCATTGCTATGACAAAACACTCCAACCAATACCAACTTGGGGAGGAAAGGGTTTATTTGACTTACATCTCCCAGGTCACAGTTCATCAGGGAGCCCAAGGTAGGAACTCAGGGCAGAAACCTGGAGGCAGGAGCTGGAGCACAGGCCATGAAGGATCACTGCTTATTGACTTGCTCCCCTGGCCCCTGCTCAGCCTGCTTTCATATGCAACATAGGTCCACCTGCCCAGGGGCGGCACCACTCACAGTGGGCTGGGCCCTCCCACATCACTCAACAATCAAGAAGATGCCCCATAGACATGGCCACAGGCCAGTCCAATGAAGGCAATTCCCCAGTTGAGGCTCCTTCAACCCAGGTGTGTCAAGTTGACACTAAAGCTATCCAGCAGAGTAAATAATAGAGTTGTGAGAGGAAGTTAAATGATAGTCATTTAAACCTAACCCAGTAACTTGAGAGCCAAATGGACTTATTGCTATCAGTAAAGGAAATGCTGTATTTCTGGTAAAATGCTATGAGGCAGTGTGCACATGGGGAGGTACCCAGATCCCACATTGCGCATTCTAGTTACTGCTGCTTTCAGAGAAGCCAGATCAAAATGTCCTGAGCAAGCAGTTCTCCCAGGCAGAGGCCTCCTATGGAATCTGAGAGAGCAGAATGCTCCAAGCCTGCTTCTCTAGGGCATGAGCTGCAAGATGTGGGAAGTTCTGTTCTTCACCAAGAGCCCTAAAACCACATTTTGTCAAATCAGTGTCCCCAGCATTTGGGGTTTATGCACCAGTGCCTTTTAGACAGGAGATGTCCCACAAGGTGTCTACACTCCAGGGCTTTCTGGTACGGTGAGCAACTCGGGACATTTTAACACGGTTGCTGTGGTCCCTCAGTCCACTTCCCTACAGTTTCTGGCAGAGTCATGAGATGATCCTGGAGCCTCCTACACCAGGCAGGTTCAGTTCAGGTTAGCTCCCATTGAGGCAGTTAGAGGTGCTTTGGGGTTCCTTGGGCCCTGCACATACTCTGTGGGTTTTATAGGAGACAGCTAGTTCAAGATCCCCGGAAGAAAGCAGCTTTGTCCTCACTGGGCCGTGCACAGGCCCGCATTCATATCTCATTGTTGTTGCAGGGGAGGCAGATGCGATCCAGAACAATGGGACCTCGGCTGAGGACACAGCGGTGACAGACTCCAAGAGCACAGTGGACCCAAAGAATGCCTGGAAGGGTGCCCACCCAGCTGACCCAGGGAGCCGCCCCCACTTGATCCGCCTCTTTTCCCGAGATGCCCCGGGGAGGGAGGACAACACCTTCAAAGACAGGGCCTCAGAGTCCGACGAGCTCCAGACCATCCAAGAAGACACAACAGCAGCTTCCGAAGGCCTGGATGTGATGGCGTCACAGAAGAGACCCTCTCAGCGGCACGGATCCAAATACCTGGCCACAGCAAGTACCATGGACCATGCCAGGCATGGCTTCCTCCCAAGACACAGAGACACGGGCATCCTTGACTCCATCGGGCGCTTCTTTAGCGGTGACAGGGGTGCACCCAAACGGGGCTCTGGCAAGGTGAGCTCCCCGGAATAGAGGAGCTGTGGGTTAAATTGCAGAAAGGAAGGAGAGGAGGGCAGGTGAGCTGGGCCAGTGGCACCAATGCTGATATGTCCCCCTGTGTCTGAGACACTGGCTCTGACTAGACGGTGCTGATGGCCCAGGGGGACGGGCTCTGGTCACCTGTTTCCACTTGCTTTGCCCTCTTTGCCCTCACAAGGGACCGTGAGTGGAGTATAGCTCAAGAATGCAAAGCCTTCTGTATCCTGTGTCTCAGCGCACCCTGGATATGGCATTGAGAGTACCATGTCCTCAGATGTCCATGCCCTGTGCTTGGGACATCAGCCAATTCTGCCTGTGCACAATGCTTCTGGGTTCAGCCCTGACTTGTGATTATTCTCTGCTGGGTTCGGTTGCTAGCTTCTCCCTGCTGTGGAACAATGGTCTGATTGAGGCTGAGGAGGCCTACCAAGCAAACCCCTCCACTTAAGTTTGCCTCCAACTTTTCCCTTTGTCCCCAGGGTTCCACAGAAAGGAGGGATGAATGAATGTTTATGAATCAAAACTTCATTATTTTGTGATTCTATTAATTTTAATATAGAATCTTGCTTCATGCTGTAAAAGCAAATGTTCTGTAGATAAAAATGTATCACAAGAAAAATTGCTGCAGGTGGTCTAGTTTCCAAGAGCGACTCCTGGGGTAGGTTATGTGTCAGCCTGTGGCTGAGGCTTGTTGATCAGCCAGTGTCAATGGCTGTTATACTGCAAAGGTATGGCATTTTCTGTGATTTTGACACTGTTGGATGGCAGGCAGAGAGTTCAAAACAAGCCCCTGGTTGTTTGGTACCCTCATAGACCTGTGAGATATCTTCTGCCTGTAAGTTGTGCCTATTCTAAAAAGGCTTAGGGAACAGGAGAGGCTTTAGAGAAAAGTATGGAATGGAGGCCCCACCACGAGGACTCACTCTCACCACAACTCTAGGCCAATTGGAAGCACGGAGTTTCTAAACTGTGCTGGAATCTCCAGCCACACTTTGAAAGGTGATGATGATCATGAAACTGTTGAAAATGAGCTCAGTGTCAGCTCACCTCTGTGGCCATCAGGGTCTGTGCTGTCTGAGCGGCAGTGTGCTCCACACATCCGCTCCTGCTGAGGTCCACGTTGGGAGGTCACCATGACTTGCTTGTCAGTAACGTGGCTTGTCTTAAGTGCTAGTGGAATTCCCATTCTGCTTGTCTTCTTCAGGGTCTCTATTTATAGATGTTGCTCTTTCTTTTTGGCAGGGCTCTCGGCCTGATAGATCAGTTCTGTGACTTATTTCTAATGGTAACTCCAATTTAGGGTGCCTTTTCAAGCACTCTTCTCAGGCCCGGCGAGGTCTGGTGGCTCCTCGTTGCCCACTAAGGTTTGTCTGCATAGCTAAGCCGCCACAAACATACAGCCTCACAACTGGAAGCCTTAACCCAGGCTGCCCAACTGAAGGAGCCTCCGTGAGAGTGCATTTAAGCAGTGCAGGGAAGATGGAATAGCCGGACAGCATAGATTCTAGAAACACTTTGTTTACATGATCATAGTGCAAAATGAAATAAAATCATAGCAGCATTTACCCCTAGTCCCATGACTGTCCCAGTGTGCACAGGTTTCTTTCCATGTGAGATCATAGCCTTCATTGTTTTAGATCTCATGCCCCTCAAGTTTTCAATGAAGAGATTCAGTACTCAGAAGCAGTCCAAGTAGTCAAAGTATCTGCAAATGGTGTCTCTTAGATTATCAAGGATCCTGGAAAAAAAATTTCATGGGATTTAAAAATATATATAATAAGAACAATTTTAAATAATTGTTTTTTTAGAAATTCGAGGTGTCGATTCTTTGTATCACTACTGAACATTTTGAATATGGAATATTTTTAAATGAACGACCTTGTTACAAAAACAGTCCCTTGATGTTTGCACGACCTTTATTTTCTTGTTTATTCGTTTCTTAAATTAGCATATGAAACAATGGGGTTCCTTATGGCATTTCCATACAGACTTTGTTTCTGTTGGCCCTCCTCTGCCCCCTCCTGGAGCTTGTTCCAAGCACAGCCAGAGGTACCTTCCTCCTCTGGTAGAAGCTTTCTGCTTGATCGCACATGTTGTCCAAGTCTATTACTTTGTTGTTTAACTTTGGAGATGCAAACTTAACTCACTCTACCCCCTGTTACAAATCCAAAACCACTTTAGAAGTCATGGGTAGTTATGGGGTGGGCTGTTAAGGAGCATTGTTTGTTTGTTTCTATTTGTATTTTTCTCTGTAAATCAGGAAGGCTCTTTTTTCTCTACTACAAAAATCCTTGGTGTAGACTTAAACCTGTTAAGAAACTTGGAAAAAAGAAAGACTAACTAGCTGTCACTCGTGACAAAAGTCCACATTCCCGTTGCTATTCTAAAAGTATATTGCACATGCAGGGTGCTGGGGAAGACAACAGGGGCCAGTTGCCTGGCACTTGGGCTGGCAGCTATGCTGCCTGCTTGTGGAGCTGGTCTCCAGGTAGAATCTGGGAGACTCTGAACACCCCCTCCTTACCCTGCAAAGGGACTGCTGGTCCTGCTGCCTCCTGCATCAACCCCCCAGGCACATGTTCTCTTCGTGCCATGCAGAGCCACCACCCCCAGCTGACAGAATGCAGGGACAACACCCAGCCTTTGTGTGCCTGCCCAAGCTGACATTCAAGGAAAGTGCATGAAGAATGCCTTGAGAAGGCATATTCTTCTGAGAGCCATGGTGAAAAGTCCGTTTACAGAGAACATTCTCCTTTGTCCTAGGAAGAAAGGAGAGCTGTGGTATGGCCTCTAAGGAATAGGTTTTCCAGGCCCTGGAATGTCCAGGCCTTACAGGAAATGGAGAGGCGGCTTGAGAAAGAACAGAAGGCACCTGCTCTGACCCCTTCACTTCTCACCCACCACTAAGCCTCACCTGCCCTAGTCCTGAGGCACACCTGACCTCTGGGGTCTCCAGGCCCACTAGCCAGCATCTCAAAACATGAATTATAGGAAATATTCCTTCCCATGTAGTGCATGTAATGTCTCAGAGAGTTCCTAAGCTAAGTACACAGAGTCACACCAGACAAGGACACCACAAGCACATAGCAGCTTGTCCTCTCTGCTTCCTTACACCTTTAAGCGTCTCATCGGTGGCTTCCTGTATCTCTGTTGATTTTACATGAACTCTCCATGTATAACCTGCTAGCATGGGCATTTTATCATTCCCACTCCCATCACTCAGTGCTGCCCTGCACACTCAGTCTTGTAAATTAACCACAATATCTGTTTCCTGATGTTTTTTCATTGCACTTGAATTTTTAATCAACATATTTCAGTTCTGCAGTAACTTCGTTCTTCACTGTCAGCATGGCAGCCTAATGTTGCAGCTATGCCCAGGATTCTGTGGGAAGGTGATGTTAGAGGTCACAGGAGGGACACAGTCTAAGCGCCTATGTGACACTCCAAGAGTGCGGGTGGTTGGAAAAAGAAGTGTTTGTCAGTGGCAAGGGCGACTGCGTCCCTGCCTTCTGCTAACAGAGCTTTACCCTCAAGGGTTCATGGGTACAAGTAGAACCAAGCTGAACCTCCCACCGGGGTCTGACATGCCACTTGCGGCCTCCCATCCACTTGGCAAGAGTTTCCTGAAGACTCTCCGGAGAAAGCCTGCATGTGATGGATATACTAGTTGCTGTGCCCAAGCCCCATATCTCCTGAGATTTCTTATAAGAGTTTCTTTTGGAGTAGCCATGCCCTGGTCAGTTATCAGCCCCCATGTCTAAGTCACCAGCTGCTTATCCTGCCCTTTTGTTGCCCCGGTCGTCATAGCCATCCATTGCTGCTTAAGTGAGTGACAGTTACATTAGAATTTGATGGGCCTGCACCCTCTATAAAAGTGGGACGTTTGTTAAGTTGTGTTTGTATTTAATGATGATTGCTTTCTGGTGGTTGTATGACAACTTGATTTTGTTATGAACCTTCCCTCTATGTATATTTCTGCCTTTTAATGCACTCATTAAACATTTTAACAGACCAAGGATGGTGTACTAATTGCATGTGGACTTTTAAGTTGTATTTTTACTTTATTAATGGCACTGTAAAACTGGCATCTCCCTGGCCTTGGAAACACCCACAGGTAAGTCTGGGCACCTGAGCTCTTGCCATCTCTGAGCACAATGGCCACAGTCCTTGCTCCTCTGTTTCCAACAGAAACACGGTGCATTCTCTTGTCGTGGCAACGTGGTGTCCATCTCTTCCCATGGCCACTGCTTCCATGCTGCTTGTAATGCTTCTCAGGACATTGTCCTACGGATGTCAGGGGACATGTGGGCCCTGAAGAGGCTTGGGCCCAGGCCATATAACGGATTTACTGAGTAGCTCAGTTATTTTTCTGTTGCTGTGATAAACTCTGACAAAAGCAACTTCAGGAAGAAAGGATTATTTTAGCTCATAGTTCCAGAATACAGTCCATCATGGCAGGAGCTTGGGGCAGATGTCACATTGCATCCACAGTCAGAATGCAGGAAAGAACACTGCCGCTCAGATTGATTTCTCTTCATTCGGTCCAGGACCCCCAGGGAATGGTGTGTCCAGTCAGGGTGCATCTTCCCACCTCAACTAACATAATCAAGATTATCCCACAAGCTCAGAGACTTGTCTCTTTGGTGACTCTAGATCCTGTCAAGTCAACAATCAAATTAACCTTCCCAATGAGTGGGCACATCAAGGCTATCTTCCGGGGCTCCCCAGGGAGGGTGTATTCACAAAGATCATCCAACGGAACCTGGAGTGGGTGGGCTCCTTGTGAGGATGAAGCTGAATTACTCTGTGTGGCTGATAAGTGAGACTAAGAGAAAAGACATTAAGTGAATTTGGATGTGGCCTGCCTTCATCTGCCTGAATATTCTCCCCCGGAGGTCCTGATCCTGACTCTCCTCCTTTTAAATCCAATTCCACTTTAAGGGATTTATTTCCCCGTCATTGGTATTCCTTTTGGTAAAAGAATTAGCCAGGCAATTCTGACTAGTTGACTAAGAGCTCAGCTTGACATCTGAAGAAACAGATCATCCTTAAGCAGAAATAATCACTCTCTGAGCTCATGATGAAAGTCACCATGATACTGATTTAGTATTTGAGAATTGTAGGCCTTGCCTGTCAAACCATGGCATAATATTTTATCTTACAGCTGTTTCTTTCCTAACATATTTATTACTGCACTCTTAAATGCTCTAAAACCATTCTGCTTTGTTTTTAAAAAATAAGGGAAAAGAAAAAAACTCAGGAAAAATGAGGCATTCTGAGGAGCCCCCTCAGTGTGGGCTTAATGTCTGTAATTCTTCCTAATGGGATGTTTTTGCCCTCCACCCCCTCCACCCCCACCTTGAAGGTACACTCCAGGCAGAGAAGTGCTTACTTCCCAGTTAGTCAACTAAAGATACTTTACTCTGTCAGACTGTACCCACCTTGACATGAAGTGTAGACCTCCTTTCCCTGCACAGCAGGGAAAAGGCTTGCCACCCATTTTCTATCTGTGTTTAGGAGTGAATGTCAGGGTGTAGGTGGTAGTTCTGTAAGCATCATTCTGAGCTGCAATTCTGCTTCCATCTGCCACCAACTATTTGCCCTCTGTGTTTGGACAGCCATGTCCCTCCTAAGTCTGGGTATGGCAGTGAAGGGGCAGTGCCTCACAGTGACAGCCCCCTGCATGGAGGAGGCTCCTGCGTTCCACAAGGGAAGCACTAACAGAAACTTTTTCGCCTGTTGCTGAAGTGTGTCATCCGGGCTTGCTCAGTCATCCTCAGTTGAGGGGTCCCTCCTCAAAGGGACAGCCAAGTCTTATTCAGACAGAAGCCAACACAGGCTTGCCCCTAGAGGTTTGCTCTAACACGCATACCCTCCTTTTTCTCCCTTTTCAGTCCCCGTGCCAGAAATTTGAGTCATCAGTAATTCTTGCTAGTATAAAAGTAACCTTTCTCCTGTGGCTGGGGACCCTGAGCACACAGTCACCCCAGACTTGCTTCTGCAAACCCCAGTGTGATGACTTTCAGATGTACTTCTAGAGAACACTAACAGAGTCACACTACAACCACCTTCCTGCATTCCAGTCCCTGCCAACCTGTTAGACCATCTTATCTGTAACTGAGCAAGCACTGAAACTTACTGGATTGACTTAGCTCTTGGCTACTATAATATCTCTCTCTCTCTCTCTCTGTCTGTGTGTGTGTGTGTGTGTGTGTCTGTCTCTCTCTCTCCCCTCTCTCTCTCTTTCTCTTTCCCTCCCTCCACCTTTTGTCTTTCTCTCACTTCCCTCCCTCCCTCCCCATTTTGATATGAATAGTCAAAAAACAGAGGCACTCCCTGCAGGCCATTTACCTCTTACTCTTTTCTTTCAACCTCCTCAGTTGACGTGGCAAATACTCTCTCATAACTAACAGAGAGACACTCTTAAACTGGAAACAAATACCACATAGCAAGAGTTATAGCAACAGACTTGAGGTTAGCATAACTCATGGCAAGGAATACTTTTCTATGTGTGTTAAGTTCTTCTGTCACCACCAACAACAAAGAATGTGGGCAAGAAAATGTCACCCCAGGTGACCTCCAGAGCAACACTGGGTACCTCAGCTCCCGCCTCCATCTCCCCGTATCTGTAGAATCTTCAAAAGGGCTGCACGGTGGCATCTATTGTTAACCCAGCAGTGCAGGGGTGGTTCCTATTTGGAAACCAAGCACATAGGCTAACACACTTGCTATAAAAGAAAATAAGTAAAGGTCTACAAATAAAATCCAACGTAAAATGTGACCATTTCATCATAGCTTTGAAAACCCTCTGGGAAAGTATTTATCTTTCTCTCTTAGAAATCCTAGACTTCTATTGCTAAGATGTAGCTCAGGGGTAGAACAAACATGCAAGGCTCCAGGCTCAACCTCCAGCACTAGGAAGAAGGTGAAGGAGGAGAGGCCTATGCAGCCCCCATGAAGCTTTGCTCTGGTTCTTTTTTCTTGGGCACTGCCCTGCTCTCATCTCCTCTGGCCTCTTCTGGGTCCATCCATCTTCCCACACTCTCTTCTGAACACTTGCTCTTTAAACCTCCACTTGCTGCTCCCCGACCCTTCTGGGGATCAGCTATACTGATCCTAGAGACTGGCAGAGGACTGTGGGGCTCTGCAGGCAGTGCCCATGCTGGACTCACCTGGCCCACTCTGTCCTCGGCAGGTACCCTGGCTAAAGCAGAGCCGGAGCCCTCTGCCCTCTCATACCGGCAGCCGGCCTGGGCTGTGCAACATGTACAAGGTAAGCCGCCGTCACTAACCTACCGAGGGTCACCTCTGTGTGCAAAAATGTTCTCAGCTTTGTGGGCAGGGTCCTCACGATGGTCACATGGATTAGAGCCGGCAATTCCTCTAGGAACCGGCTGTGTCCCAGGGGCCCAGCAGGTCTTCAGAGCATCTGTGAGTCACAAAGAGGAGAGGAAGGCAGGTCCTGAGAGAACACAGCAAAGAAGAAATTTTAAAAGAAAACAGAAACTCATATCAGAGGTGGTTAGCCTCCCTTTGAATCCCTGGTATGGGAATCTCAAAGGATCAGCTGGGACAGAGCACAGTTTTCAGGTCATCACAATGGAGAAGTCCACAGGAACAAGCCATGGATGGATCCACGGTGTGGCCCTCAGTAATATCCCACAGGCTGGAAGACTGCTAGGGGAAACAGTCTAGGAAGGTCGACCTAGACCAAGTCATGGGCCTGCCTGTGTTTCTGACCTGCCTTGAAAAGAAGCACCAGTCAGATACTAAGCAAAATCACCTGGGTCAAACTCAGATGGCTAATGCCCTCATTAAGCCCAGTCCTTTGGGGTTCTGCTCCTCTGAGTATAGCCAAGCTAACATGGGTGAAAGACATGGCAGGGATCTGCCCTCGCCTCCCAGAGTGGATGTTGTCACAGGTATGTACCCTGGGGTGCTATTGGGGAAGGTAGAGACAAAGGCTGCAAGGGGATCCTTCAATCAATCACAGTTGGGACTGTCCCTCACAGGCCGAGTGTCATCACAGAAACTCTGTTGGTCACAGTTTCATACAGATGCAGTCACCAACTGAACCTTGGCATCTGTCTTTTTCAGAGAAGGGAGGTGAAAGATTGAAAACGTGTTCAGATGCCTAAACATCTAGAACATTTTCCTGCTCTGTGCCATAGAGCACCTATCAGGAGAGAGGGTACCTAGGGATCAGGTGACTGTGCAGTTCCTCTGTAAGGCATTAGAAGTGACCAGGAAGGGGCTCACAGAGATCAAGGTAGGCAGCAGGAAGGGTACCCACATCCTGTAGGTTTTGGAGCCCCCAGAACAGAAGCTTCACAATGAGACTGTCTATACAGGGTGTTCCTGCCTGAGCTGGATGTCCTAGGGTAGAGTGAAGAGCAGGAGCTTGGGGAAGGTGTTGTCTGTGCTCTGCCTTGCTTCAGAGTAGTGATCTTTGAAGAATGAAGAACATTCCTGCTGGCCTCTAGGGTGACCAGTCCAGGGCCAAAGCTACAAAGGCAGCAAAGGGAAGTAGAGATACATGACCCCAGGGCCTTGGTGAGTGTGGTGCCTGAAAGGCAGCACCGAAAGGTCCTGAGGGCCTTATGATGGCCCTTGAGGAATGACAGGCAGACTGGTGTTGACTGAAAGGAGCCCTGTGCAGGGCGTCTATATGGCAGACACCTGTTCACACCTGCATTCACATAGAGTCCTGCTCGACTGTAGTTGTGACTGGCTTCAGGGGCTCAGCTCCAAAAATGTATTACTTCCCCGGGTAGTTTCTGAGGATCCCCTGTCTTCGAGAGTTCATCTTTTCTGAGACCTGTTGAAGGCTGCATTCACTTGGCTTCCTTGGACTGGGACAGGGTTGGGGCAGCAACCCCTACCTGGCAGGTGCCTGGCCTTACTGCTTCAAGTCTTAGCATGGAGCTAGCTTGACCTGATTTCAATCCTGGAACAAAGGTGGGTGGCACCTCTGAGGGGAGTGAGGGGCACATGGCACCTGAGGCTACACCACTGAATCCAATGGCGCTGAGGCATCTGGTTCACCCTGAAAGATGCTGGCACTTCCTGCCCTGCCCCTCTCCAACATGCTCTGTGACAGAGAGTAGAGCCTGTGCACAGAGTAGCAACTCCACCAGGAACCCCAGGGTTCCCTACAACGGACTGTCAACCACCAACAGAATGTTTGCTTTTTCTCCTTTTAAAAAAATGTTCTAACAGAGAGAAGCCAGTCCTTCTCTCCTCCACATCTTCATCCCAGACAGTCTTGTACATATATTTTAAAATCTGGCCCAAAATCAGGCTGGCTGGAAATGATGCTCTTGCATAACCACAGAATCTAGCCTTGCATAGACACATGATCAAGTGACTAAAACATGCTACAGATTCCCTGAACAAGGTTCTTTGTGTTTATTGTTTATTTGTGGATGCCCCATTTTAGTTCTAACCAGGTTTGAACTGGCTGGCTGGAACACATGTTAGGACCAGAGGAAAACAGATAATGATTATTAGGTGCTCTGTGTGTGATATTTATATGTCTACTAAGTGAGGGAAATCAAAGGTGTAAGCTGAACCCACAGGCAGAGCACTGCAAGAGAGTCTTGTGGGCTCCCAGGCTACCTGTGATGCACAACGAAGAGCTCTTCTAGGGCCCCTGTACTGAAGCCACCCAGGTCTCCCTGATCCACAGAGGAAGCCAGGACTGCCCCTGTGGCAGGTGAGCTGAGAAACAAGTGACTGCCCTAGAGTCCCCTTCCCGCAATGCAACTCTGGACTATTTTCTTACTAAGTGCAAGCTTTGTGTTTCTCTCTCTCTCTCTCTCTCTCTCTCTCTCTCTCTCTCTCTCTCTCTCTCTCTCTGGGGAATGCCTTCCTCCAGTGCTGAGTCTTTGTTTTGTCAAGAAAGTGGTGATGAGTCTAGTGGAGGGGCAGGGATCAAGGGAGAGCAGGGCAGATGGGCGGGCACACGTCTATGCCTTTCCGGGGAGCTGAGCCTTACTCTGTGCTCCACACCTTCTCTTCCCCTGGAATTCTTGCTTTTCTAATACGTGAAGTTCTTATGCACAGGGAAAGTACAGCCAAGTCTGGCCCCAATGATGGCTTCAAAAACATTCATGCCATCTCAGGATTCTGTGACTTGAGATGGGTTTGCCAGGGATATAGAGCCACTAGGTGGAAACCATAGGTGAACAGTGACTTAAGATATTAGGAGCCATTAACACGCCTCCAGGTCAGAAACTCAGAAGACACAGGTAAGCAATGTGGAGCCCACGGTCTCTGCTCTGGCTGGTCCCGGTGTGCATCTTTCTCTCTATGTGTCTGCATCGATAGGGAGACAGACAGACATAAATACCTAGGTACTTTATGTCTGTCTCCCATGAGCTAGGGCCTCAGCAGATGCCAGGCTTGTTAGAGCTTCTTCTGCCCCAATAAAAGTGCCACTTGCAATGTCACAGTGTTAGCCACACAGGGAAGCTCTCCACTTCTCTGTCTGCTCAAATACCTACTGGGTAAGAAAGATCTACCTTCTGTGCAGGAGGTCACTCCAGGAGAGAGCTAGTCCCAGCACTGCTGACCACTTCTTCAAGCATCAGAGTGTCCACTAGGCTGTCTTCAGTTCCAGGACACGTAGCCTTTGTCACAGGACCTGACTGTTCTCCTCTGGGACCTGGACGGTGAGCAAAGAGAAGCAGAAAGAGCATTTGATATCAAAGAGCAAGGTAGAGAAGCTAGGATTCCAGGGGGAGACAAGGTGCAGAGCTCAGGGTGAGACACAGCTTCCAGGAAACTCAGGCAGGTCTGTGTGCTCCATCTGAGTATCCCTGCTCCCCATCTGTGTCTTTAATTGCTGGGCTCTCCAGCCTAACATGGACTGGTACCAGGCAGCAGCATGCTCTGCTGATGGAGGACATCACAAATACAGCAAGGAAGGAGCTGGGGGAGGCTCATGGGGACAGCCTCTCACTACTGTGGCCCTGCTCCATGTGCACTTTGGCAGGAGTCCTGGGAGAGCAGTGGATCACCTCCACTGTCCACGTCATCAGGTGCCTGTCCCTATCTCTTCAGGAGACCTCTGTCATGGAGTAGCAAGGCCTTGTGGGTTAGATCTCAGTCTACCAGTTTGCCGAGGCATGACCCCAGGCCGTGATCTCCTCTGAGCTAGGTTTGTTTACCTGTGAAGCAGCCACAACCACAGGTCAGTTATCAGCCCGGAGAGGGTTTTGTGCTAATCAAGTGATAAAGAAGATACATATGCTCAAAATGGTATAAGCACAGTGATCTCGCCTCTGTGAGCTCCATTCTCAAACTGTTCTAGAAAGATCCCAGGCCACCCCAAACAACTGACTAGGGAAGTGCTTGACCTGAAGGTCTGAGGGGCTCCAGCTCCCTACCCTATGCCTGCCCCAGCCTTAGAGCAGTTTTGTTTCTCTTGGGTCTCAGTTTCCTCAGTTGTTAAAGACTATCAGTTCAATACAGAATACTACAAATTTTGCTTTGAAGACTCTCAATCCACTGATCCCTTTCCCTTCCAAAGAAACCTTCCTAGACCCCCATCCTGCACACTGCCCATGTGCTGGGCAAGTGAACATGAAGTTCCAAAGCCACAAAGGTAGGTATATGCCTGCAGTCCAAGCACTTGGAAGGTGGAGGCAGGAGGATCACAAGTTCAAGAAAGCATGACAGTGTACCACAGAGAAAGAAATGTCCCAACAGAGGTACTCAGCGTCAGTTAGATATATACCCTATTATAGTGACATCAGCTGGATATTTAAGCTAAATGGTGCACTCCAGACACACTTGGGTCTTAAAAAACAGGTGCTTGAAAGCAGAGAGGAAAAAAGGGTGTTAAGAGCAGTGCCAAGACCCGCTTCCCTTGTATTTAGAAGGAGACAGGGATAAAGCCTCAGACACAAAAGGATCCAGGAGCATCTGCCCCATCTGCGCATCTGAGAAGGAAGACAGAACTGCCAAGTGTGTGGCCTCCTCCCCAGCCTGTTGAACAGCCTGCAGCTCCCACAGACCCTTTGCCCACCTCTGTTGCTCCCCTTCTTGGGAGCAATTGGCCAGGAGAGGCTGGAAGCAGCATCAGAGCCCCGACCCCTTGAGGACAAGAAAGCCCAGGCCTAGAGAGTCAATACTAAAAGTGCTAAGGACTGCTGAGGACTTTCTGGGCAAGGCTGAGTCTCAAATGTACATCCCAGGAGGAGAGAAGCCCAGAGAATTTTGAAACTAATCTCTGTATCACCAAGGAAAGGGGCAAACTTACCAGAGGTG